CAGATCACTCGAGGTCTAAAACGGAAGTCGAGGAATGGAACGCTCTTAGGCTTCGGGACTTCCTGGATCCTTCTTGCTCAGGCCCCATCCCTTGGATAATGGTAAAGAAGCCATCCAAAGCATTCAGCTTTGAGGCCTTCAGTGAAAACCCCTATCTCAGAAAAGGAATTCATCTAGAATTCTCCTTAGGACTGAGAATTCTAACGGCTCTTTGAATTCCAGTCATCCCTAGTGCATCATCCGTTTTCTGGAGATGACTTCCAGGAAGGCTGTCCTTCACTCTGGAGTGGAGTTCATGCCTTTAGCATGGGGGACCCCCCCATCAAGCAGCCAGGATCTTTGGGGGAAAGTCTGGGGCAGGGTGAGAGGTGCTGGAGGCCAATGGTACTTTATGTCCAGAGCTTCTCTGACTCAGCCATGTGGAAACCCCATTAATTTATTTTACATGCATCTCCAGCGCTCTTATCACACAAACCCCTGTCATAAATCCATTTATAGCGTGCTATGTGCCAGATACCGTACTAATTACTTCATAGGCATAGTTTCCTTTATTCCTCAGGTTTACTTATCTGCAAGTATGGAGATCAAAATTCGGAAAGATAATCTGCCCAAATTGACACAATTAGCTGCCCCAATACACACAGCTCTCTGAAGGCTATGCTGCCTTTCCCCATGCTGGATACTGTTCAGTCAACCCAGGACCCTGCTCTGTCGTGAGTCCTGCATTTAAAAAAGCATTTCCCTCCCTAAATAAAGACCATTTAATGAAAATTCTGGGGAGAAGGATATGCCTCAACAAGGCCATGGGACTAGAGAGATGGCTCAGTGGTTAACAGCGCTGGCTGTTCTTGTAGCAGACCTGGGTTCAAATTCCAGCACCCACATGGCAGCTAATAACTGTCTGTAACTCCAGTTCTAGGGGATCCTCTGTGGGCACTGCATGACATGGGTGCACTTACACACATGCAGGCAACATACTCACAAACAAATTTTAAAAAGTTGAAACAAAACAAAACAAAAAACCAGGCCATATGGTCTTCTGGCAGTAGAGTTCTCACTCCAGAGCTGAGAGTATCACTCAGTGGTTAGAATGCCAGTTGAACATGTGTGAGGTCCTGGGTTTGATCCCCAAGACCAGACATACACATAAGCACATACAAACACAAACATGCATACACATACATACATTTTATATGTGCACACACACATATATGCACACACATGTGAAAGCACACACACACACACACACACACACAAATACTATCACTCCAACTGCTTTTTCAAGAGTCAGCAGAACAGAGCCCAGGGTTGGAGGAAGGAACTCACTTTCTGTCTTTTATTTAGAAGATGTTGATGCAGAAAAGAAGGATGCTTTATTAGTAAACAGTCGTGTGAATTTACACACCGGCTCATCCGTTAACATTTTCAGCAATGGGATGCTGTAGAGAGCCAAGGAGAGATGCAAAGGGCTAGGGACGGAGCGGTACAGAGAGGAAGGGTGAAGAACCACATGTCTCCTGTTTCAGGCTCTCAGATCCTGCCTGGGTTTGTAGGAGCCCTAGAAGAAAAGGGAAGGAACAGACAATGTATCTTGCCTGCAGCTTCCCATGGAAGGTTAGTCTGAGCTCAGTGGATTCTGTGCCTCTGGCTGGGAACACACCTGAACACAACCAAAGTGACAGTGGTCATCCTACTTCCATCTGCCTGGGCCAATGATGCTTTCATTCTCCAAGAGTGTTAAGATGACAGAGGCTAGGATCTGTCTCATTTGAATATAGAATTGACTTAGGTCACTTGAGGGGATGAGGGGCAGCAGGGAAACCCCAGAAATGAACATACCATACAATTCACACACAATTCATTTCTATTCAGTATTGAACTGACCAGTGAAGCTCATATTTCAAAAGAAAATTCTCTCTCTCTCTCTCTCTCTCTCTCTCTCTCTCTGCCATGGGGAGTTGGAACTCCTGAGTGACTTGAGGTGAAGCCAAGGCTTGCTTTGCCAGTTATGGAAAAGTTGGGTCTGAGTAAATAAATTTGGTTCTCCTCTTCCCTCCCTAGTTCTGCTCCAAAAAAATAAACATTACCAAAGCAGTGAACCACTCCTCTGTCCTCCCAGGAAGCGTGTCGGGGCCAGTGGAACAGCTCCAGCCATGGAGCATAGAGGAAACAGCAGGACTTCCATAGCCTGCATGTGTGACATACAGACACATCCACAGACGTGCAACACTTTGTGTCTTCTATAAATGGCTAAGAGAGCTGTTTAGAGTCTTCTCTAGACATATTAAGGCTCACTAAGTGAAGAGGATGACTACCTCCCCAGTGGGCTCACTAACGGTTGTCCCATGGACAGTAGGCCTTGGTGTGTCCATGTATGTTTGGGACCCCAAGGTTCATTTCATAGTTCTGATTAGAATAAACATAGCATTTTTCTAGTGCTTCTTAAATGAAGCTGTGCTTCTCTTGGGGAGATATATATCTGCTTGCTGTAATTTTTCAGTGGTTTGCTTGTTGGACCACATATTAAGCCCACTTTCAGAGCCGCACTCACCAAATGGTGTCAAGTAAATATGTCTTTGTTTCACTTCCTCAATTTGAGACTGAGGGTTTTTCTTTTAAGAAGACAAATCTTGGGGTGTTCCAGATAAAAAGAAGGGCCACTCTCAGATGCAACATAACGGCTGCAGCTGGAGCCCACACTGACTCTGAAACCTGGATGGAGAAACGGGCCCCAGCAGGCCAAGGCACTGTGTGGTTTTCCAAGTGATGTTACCTTTAACCTCCAGGCAAACTGGGAGTCGGCCTCATCATCTGCAGAGGAGGAGGAGGTGGTTGAAGACAGAGAAGAGGCAGCCTCTGTCATCCGAGCTCCGGAGCCTGAAACGGGAACGGGAGAACTCACCAAACTGCTGGCCTCTTTTCTTGCTTCGTGCCTCAGAGCTGCCTCCCTCCTTCAGGCTCACCCCATTCTCTTCCTCCTCCTGCTCACCCTTCACTGCACCTGCCTGCAGCTTGGGAAGGCAGTACCTCAGGGCAACTGAAAAGTTGGCCCTCCACGTTAATTACATTTCTGGATCCCTGCCAAGAGCCTCCCAGCTCTCTTCTCACATTCAAAATAAAACAAAACAAAACAAGGTATTGTGCAGAAATCAATGAAGCCCTTAAACACCCTTTACACGGCACAGCCCTGCTGCTTACAATGCTTTTGGAGCTAAAATCTATTATTAAAGTGCATGTCTGAAGTTAGCTGAGTTACCTAAATGCTCGTGTAAGGTTCGTTCTGAGGAGTAATTGAATGCAAAAAAGTCGGAGCCAGCTCTTAAACAAATCGCCCTTCTGCGGCTCACAGCATCTGGCACCCATTTTTACTACATGACATCTGCTCAGTGTAAAAGAGCTGGCGTCAGAATGTCTGGTCATAGAAAAAAAAATCCCAAATGTAATCAGAAGCAAAAGGACTCTAAGCCCAAGGTTTTATCACATAGCCTCATGCAACATAAATATTTCATTAATTATGGCTAAACAAATGCCACTTTTATTTTCCCAACTTGCAGATATTATCACATCATCGGAGGGATGATTCAAATGCCAGGAAAGGCAGTTTAAGATAGGGGTGGCTCAACAAAGCAGGACCCACGGGAAAGCCGAAGCTAAGGGGTCATGCCAAACTCTAAACGAGCTGGATGGTTAGGGGACATGATGCGTCCGTGTTGACCAACCTCTTTGTGATTCGGCTGGGGACCAGGTGTGACAGGGCTTCCAGGTGCCTCTGGAAGCTCTCGTTTTTTGCTATCAAGAACATCTGCCCCTGCACATACACCTGATAGAGTCTATGCTGATAGCTGGATTAATCCACACTGGTCACCGCATTGTGGAGGTGGCCAGGACTTCGAGATGGAAAACAACTCTACTGTGGCAGCTTGTGTCTGCATAGAACTGTGGAATGAGTGGGGAGAGAGGAGAGGCAATTCCAAGAGAGCTAACGTTCTCTCCGGCTTGCCTTCTCCTCCATAATTTTCAACTATTCACCCCAGGGGGAGTGGCCACGTTTTACAAAATAAGGGTAATTTTAGCCTCCAGCAACACATTTACATATGCTGTTATTCAGAGCAAAATAATACAAAACATGTATATAAGAACCCAGCCTCTCTGGGGAGGGAGTTTGCTGTTTTCCACTTTAATTTGCCAGATGGGAAAACTCAGGTAAAGATAGAATCAGAGAGCAGCATAATCACAGGAGGGCGCATTGTTTGTGATGGGCAGAGATTGGTTCCTGCTTATAGTCACTAAATTACCATGGAGTGTGTGTGTGTGTGTGGGGGGGAATCAAGCCATTGAGCCTTCATTAACTTAGTGAGGAACTGACTTCACGCCCTTGACTTTCTAGTGTTATAATCTCTAAATTCAGAATAGTTGCGGAAGGGCAAAGACAATCAATCAAGGTGCCTAACTGTACCTGGTACAAGGGAGATACCCACTGGGAGCGCTTAAAGTAGTTTATAAATTACTTTTCTTATTGCCGTGACCTGACAAGAGGCAATATAAGGGCTGGAGCTGCAGCTCAGCTGGTAGAGTGCTAGCAATTCATGAGACTCAGGGTTTGACATCCAGCACTGTATAAACTGGGTATGGTGCCACACATCCACTGGTATACCAGTGCTACCAGTGCTTGGGAGGTAGAGGGAGGAGGCTCAGAAGTTTAAGGTCATTTGGGCTACATAGGGAGTTTGAGGCCACCCTGAGCTAGAGACCCTGTCTCAAAAAGAAGAAACAATTTAGGGGAAAAAGGGTTTAAGTTGGCTCACAGTTTGAGGGTGTGGTCTATCATGGGAGGGTAGGAGGCTGCTTACTCACATCTAGGTGTGTCAGGTAGCAAAGAGATGAATGCAGCCTCCTTTCCCCCTTTTTATTTAGTCCACTGCTCCAGCCTGTGAAATGTTGTCCACATTCAGAAGAGGTCTTCCCTCCTCAGTTAAACATCTCTGGAAATACCCCTGCAGACAACCCAAGGCTGTGTCTCCTAGGTGATTCTAAATCCAGTCAAGTTAATAATGAAAATGTATCATGACAGTTGACTTAACCATCATTACCATCATTGTTGACTCAATCAACAGTACTATAATGGTACTGAAACTAACAAACCTTTAGTTATAAGTCAAACCTAATTTCAAAAAGTAAATCTTTTCATAGAATTTCACATGGAAACGAGGCTGGAAAAGGCTTCCAGAATGATGCATCTCTTCAGCCTCCACGTCTCTCCCCTGACAGAATGATGCATCTCTTCAGCCTCCGCGTCTCTCCCCTGTCTATCACAGAACCAACCATTCTGGACTTTTCATTTGCAAGTTTTGAAAAATATTTGATTTATGATTTTTATTTTAGATGTATGAGTGTATTGCCTGCGTGTATGTAAGTGCACCTGTGTCATGCAATACCTGCAGAGGTCAAAAGAGGGCATCAAATTCCTCTGGAACCAGAGTTACATACAGTTGTTAGCTGCCATGTAGGTTCTGGGAACTGAACCCAGGTCTTCTGCAGGAGCAGCCAGCGCTCTTAACCTTAGAGCCATCTCTCCAGCCCCTCATTTGCAAGTTTTAAAAAGCTTTGCAGCATTGCTCCACCCTGACTACGTCAGAGTAACTGATTTTGTAATTGCTTTTCTGCCAGAAAACAATAGAAATCAGGACAAAATACATGAAGCATCTGTTTCCAGATACTAGACAAGAGGCAGCAAAGAAGGATGCCAAAGGCACGAACAAAAGCTCATGAAGGCAGTCCTTCAATCACAGAAGCTTTCTGTCCAGAGATCCCTTCAGAACCACAGTGCAGACAGGAGGAACCCGGTCAGAGCACAGGAGGGTTAGTGGGCTGAAGAGGCAGTTTAGAGTGTGGCCAGATCTAGGCAGCTGCAACGTGTAGGAATGGCATCCTGGACAGGAGGGATTGCTGGGGAAAAAAAAACTTGAGAAATAACCATAGAAATCTCTCTGCAGCTATTGCTTAATAGTGAGCCACAGAGGCCCAGAAAGAAGCTAGGAGGTTGGGCAGGTAACTGCTTCAAAGTGGCAGGCCGAACAATCTGGAAGACTCACGGAATGGAAGGTAGTCACAAGCCAGGAGGAACTCAGAACTGAGGCATTCATAGAGATCACTGGACTTCATACTTTACTAATGGGGATAAATTAGGTCTAGATTAGGGCTAATCATAGACGCCTGAACAAGCTTCAAAACAAGCCTTAAAAGGAACAAAGTGATTTTAAGGTCATTCTACTGCTTGCCACACATTCTCTATTGCATATTTAACATTTTAAATAATAAAATCTAAACACTTTACAACATAATATCATAATATTCATAAAGTCTACCAGCTGGTAAACATGACTACACACACACACACACACACACATACACACACACACACACACACACACACACACACACACGATTAGTCCACAACATGTCCAGGTACTGGAGAGATGGTTCAGTGGTTATGAGCGCTGGCTGCTCTTGCAGAGGATACAGCGTGGGTTCCCAGAACCCACATGGTGTCTCACAACCATCTTTAATTCCAGTTCCAGGGAATCTGATGCCTTCTTCTGGCCTTTGCATGCATTTACAGACATATGATGCACACCCCCACCACCACATAAATAGAAATAAATGGTTTCAAAAACAGGCCCAGAAATGGCAGATACAAAGGAATGAGATAAGGACTTAAAACTCTCATAAATGTGCTCAAGAAGTTAAAAAGAAAGCTAAAACAAAGAATCTTTTGCAATAATTAATTTAGTAAAGTCATAGGACATAAAATGTACAAATGGAGATTAGTAGCTTTCTGTCCCTCCCTTCTTCCCCTCCCTAATCCTTCATCCCTTCCTGTCATCCTTTGGCCTGGTGCTGGGGATTGAATCCAGAGAGTCATGCAGGCTAAGCTTGAACTTTACTGAAAGCTACATCCTCAGCTCTCATCAACAGCATTTCTATCCATTAATAATGAATGACATAAAAAAATAATAAGAGCCGGGCGTGGTAGCACATACCTGTGGTCCCAGCACTTGGGAGGCAGAGGCAGGCTGATCTCTGTGAGTTCAAGGCCAGCCTGGTCTACATAGTGAGTTCCAGGACAGCTAGGGCTACAGGGAAACCCTGCTTCAAAAAGACCCCCTCCTCTCCCAAAAATAATAGAAACTCGTGGAAGCAGAGATTATATAAAAATGCTGGTTATTAGGATTAGGAAGTGGAAGTGGGGGTTAGGGAGATGTGGGTCAAAGGATATGAAATTTCAGTTCAATAGGAGGAATAAGTTCAAGAGATTTGTTATATAACAAGGCAGCTGTTATGGTTTGAATGTAAAATATACCCTACATAGGCTTGTGTGTTTGAACAGATGCTCCACAGGTGTTTTGGAACCTTTGGGAGGTGAAGCCTGCTTGGAGGGCGTGAGGGTCATGGTGAGAATGGACTTTGAAAGTTATAGCTCTGCCCCATTTCTGGCCTAGACTCTCTGCTTCCTACTTGTTGATATAATATAACCAGCAGTCTCGTGCTCCCACTGCCGTGGACAGGAGCTTGCCTTGCCACCATGTCTTCTGGCCATGATAGATTATACTCTCAAGCTGTGAGCCAAAAATAAACCCTCCTTCCCTTAGGTTAGTTTGTTCTTATCAAGTACTTTGGACATAGTAGTGAGAAAAGTAGCTAACACAGAAAATTGGCACCAGAAGTGGAATTCTTGCTTTGATAAAGTTGACCATGGATTCTTTGGCCTTTGGAACTTGTTTGCAGGAGGAATAGGGAAGACTTTGGAGGTGTGGGCTAGTGAAGCCCTAGAATGCTGTAATTAGAGCTTAGTGGGCTATTCATACAGGTATTAGGGA